GCTCAGACTTAAGTCCTGGTTACAATGGGTCAATTATGCTCACTGAGCCCTGAGTAAACTTTTCCTTCTGTTCCGGGAGGATTTTGCACAGTGATCTTGGAAATTCCTTCTGGTCTGTTCTCTGAAGGCTAACAGAAAATGTTAGTATTTTTCCTCCTGCAGTGTTCCAAGGTGCAGCATGGCTGGTGATCTATGTGTAGAGCAGAATGAGTCAGGGATCTGAGTCACTCGGCCAGAATGCAGCCCACATGTTCTCTCTTTCAGGTTTCAATAGCAGAGTGTCTGGTCATGAAGAGGCCCCCAGCTGAGAGCACAGCAGAAGGACAGCCCTCAGCCCAGACAGAAAACAGACCTGAGCAGTTCTTCAGGAGTCCAGCTCCCAAGGGAGACAAGATTTCAAGAATTGAAAATCCCTGTTGTTCCTCATTTATAGGAAACTAATTTGAAATAAAAACACATGGCAGTGATACATGAAATATGCTTAGCAGACCATAGGTTCGTATATGCAGTCTTATTACCACTTTTATTCTTTTTAAGTTGTCTGGAGAATTTCATTATGACATATATCCTGGGTTGAATTATGTCTCCCTCAGATTCATAAATTGAAGTTCTAACTGCTAGCACCTTAGCATGTGACCTTATTTGGAAACAGGACTGTTGTAATAAGATGAGATCATTAGGTGGGCCCTCATCCGTTATGACTGATGTTCTCATATAAATGGGGATGTCTGGACACAGAGACGTGCATAGAGGGAGAATGATGTGATGATAAGGGTAGAGATCAAGGTGACACTTCCAAGAGCCAGGGAACAACAAAGCTTGTCAGCTAACCATCAAAAACTAGACAAAAAGCAAGGAAAGACTACATTCTCAAAACCCTCAGAAGGAACTAATCCTGCCATCATCTCCATCTTAGACTTCCAGCCACCAGAACTGTGAGCTGATGTTTCTGTCAATCACATGGTACCTGCAGTACTTCATTATGGCAGCCCTAGCAAATGGATCAGTATATAATGTATAAAGTAAAAATCAATCATTGTACAATTGATCACAAAAAGTGACCAAGTGAGTGCCTGGTTGTGGTCCTTCTTGAAAGATACTGACTTAGAGTCTTTCAAGAGATGCTTAAGTGAGGTATAATAGCATTTGGTATCAGCAAAGGAACTATGGCTGTGATACTGCCATGGACCTCATTAGAATGGAAATCTGTGTCCCTTTCCCGGTGACATCCTCATATACCCTTTTACCACGGAGTAAACTAGGCCCAAGAAGTACAGTCATAACCAGTTCTACTGGCAAAGGAACAGAGGCAAAGTTTGTTCCACTTACACTTAATTGATTATTCACCAATTCTCTTCTGATAGTCAAATTGAAAAGCAATGAAAAGGGTACAAAGGATCAATACAATAATCGTCAACTAGTGAAGTAGGACCCACTATGTGACATGGGTGCATGCAGACTGGAAACGCCCCAAAGGCCATGTGAAAGGCAGTGGCTTTCCCATGATCCTACTTTCCAATAGTCCTCTCTGTAAGACGGACTGCCTCCTAACTTTAGATAAGGCCATTTTGGCCATCACTCTTTAAAGTCACTTTTGCTTTAACTTCATACATTGTGCAAAGCAATTGAGACTCTGTATTATTAAAATAATTTGCTTTTTATGATAGTTCATTCATACCTGATATTATATGGCTCTGTTTAGGCTACAATTATTACTATTTTTTGAGATATACTACAATACAAATAAGGGACACAGGGCTTGGAAGCTGTTATGGTTTGGATCTTAAAGCTCATGTGTTGAGTATTTGGTCCCCAATGCAGCAGTGTTCAGAGTGCATACATGGAGCCTTTGAGAGATGATTGGATTATGAGAGCTCCAACCTCATCAGTGGATTAATCCATTGATGGACACATTCTGTAATGGGTTTGAGGCAAGGGGCTTCATTTTCAAAGTGAGCTATCTCTCTCTTTCTGCTTCCTGAGTACCATGGGGTGAGTACTTTGCTCCACCATGTGTTTCCCACCATGATGCTTTGCTTTGCCATAGTTCCAGAAACAATGGAGCCAAGTGGCCATAACTGAAATTTGTGAAACTGTGAGCCAAAATAAATAGTTACTTTTTTTTAAAGTTGCTTTTATCTGGCATTTTGTCACAGTAATGAAAAGCTGGCTAACACAGAAACTTTTTCCTCATCATGCATAAGAACAGAGTTTATCTACCTGCAAAGGCAGTGGTCTCCACCTCCCAAACCAGTGATTCCCTCCACATAGCATGCTATGTATGTTACAATGAGATAAAATCTTCTAATTTTATGAATGTATCATTCCAAGGAAAATTAATTGTGTCATCAGGCAAATACAGCCTATGACACATACAACTGTGAAATCACAGTGTTTCAACAGACCAATGAAAATGTAAGAAATCCTCTTTACCTTTTCCATTACATGCTATAGAACCACCATTTGATCTATTCCAGTTTTAACAGCTAATTAATTTGCAAAGCCACCCATTCTATATTTGGACTGCTGGATAGGCAGTATTATCTATGCATATGTGGGCCGTTTTTTATTTTTCTGATATCAGTTTCAGCCACAGTTTTTTAAAGAAACCAGTTGGATGGTAATAAAGGAAGTTTCTTTGGATGCTTATGTGGGCATGTGAATTATTTAAACTTAAAAGGAAATAAAATCAGATATCAAAAGATCAAATTGCAAATACAAAGATGTATTAACTAAATATTTGCATTTATTAAGCACTTACTGTGTGCCCAGTACTACACCAGAAACTTGAAGACAGACGTCAAAGATATCATTACCCACAATTAACTAAAAATATTATCTAACCATGATTAAATATAAGAAACAAATTTTAAATCAATGGAAAACATAGTATATAGTTAAGTCCTAAGTTGGTTAGGACTAAATTTTGTAAGAGTTCAGAGGATGGTAATAAACAGTGGAGAGTTTTTAAGAGTCATCATGAAGTACCTGGGTTGACCATGTTTGGAGACAAGTGAGATTTAGAAATCATAGGAATTAAGAAGATTTCTTTGAGAATGTATCAATATTTACAGGGTAATTATACAACTACTCCAAAACACACAAAATAAAATTATGAAGATTCTATTATTACTGTTAAAGTGAGGTGGATGGGAATGAGAAGGATGTTGAACTATAATCAAACATAAGTATGAACCAGGAAAACACCATTGCATCATGGCATAATGCAGGGAGAAAACCAAACTCGGCCCTTAACTTGGGTATTTTCCCAACTGACAAATTGGATAATTAACGTGCAGTTTGTCCTTAAAGAAAGATATAGAATATTACCAAGGAGTTCTTTCCTCCATTTCTCAGTCACCTTTAATGTCCCCACTGTGCAAAAGTGGAAAGCTCTTGTTTAGCTGATTAACTGTACCCTTCATTATATATACAAATGTCCTTCTCCCCCTCCCAGATTATATAGCACTTCCAGAGACCTACTTAACCACCTGATTAATTACTGGACCTCTATGTAAATTACTGTCAAGACTAAGAAGATCATTTCATCACTGATTCTGCTTGATGAACATTTACAGTTTAACATATCTGACAAAGCCATTTGTAAACTCCTATAATATAAATGAAGGTACATTAAAGCTACAATAAGTCCATAATATTAATAGCCTTAAAATAATTTGCTAACTACAGACAGTTCCCTAAACAATTACAAGACATTCTATGTTAATTTAGAGGGGAATTCCAAACAAGGCATTTAAAACCTAATAAGATGCCATTAAATGAAGGGGACAGGGGAGGGGGGGAAAGAGAAAGAAAACCCTAAGGCTTAAACTAGTAGAAATGATTCTCAGAGCTACTGACCCTTGCAAGATCCATGTTTTCTTGGGTTTAAGACACAAAGCAGATTTCTAATTGAAGGTAATTATCTAGATACTACATCTCAAACTGTATATTTTCTTGTATTGATTCACATCAACAACTAATTACATGAAGCTTTTATGAATCTGAAAAGTCCATAGGAACAGTCAAGGCAATCTCCGGACTATGTACAATGAAAACAAGCTCTGTAAACTATGAGGCACTACACAATATGACAACAGCCTGCCTCCTGGTATTTGTGTAGACCTAAGAATTATGATGTCAATCAACCAGGAATGGATTTTATGAAGAGATCACAGAAAAAAAAAATCCTGGCTTGTTCTTGAATTTTCTGGGGTGTGGACACCACTGTGCATGCCTGTGAGTCCACTGAAATATTCACATTGATATTGTCACATTCACTATGAGGGAAAAAGGAACAGCAATATACGCTTTTAAAAACCAAAAGACAAATTCCTATGCAGCAAATTTTATCTCCACACACTTGACTCAAGAGCTAGGTGTCTCTACCTAGCACCAAGGTGGCTAGCTTGATGGAGGCAATAAAACAGCAAAAAATATGCAGACTTCTGCCAAGGCCCAAGTATGCCTCCATAAAATATAGTTCTCATTAGCTGGGTTAATTAAGATTAACACATAAGTCATTGAAAACCCCCAAAGTAGACAAAAGATAATTTACTACAGAAAGACACAAAGACTAGAAGTCACCCTGAGTCATTCAATAATACACTGGAAGGAAGTTTCTCATTAATACTCAAGTTGTCACCATCGATTACAAAATGAGATGCATTCAACTAGCTCACAAAAAGCTAAAGAACCCCTTGTTTTGTTTGTGAAGCTCTATGAACAAGGCAGAGTGGAACACAGGAAATGTGCAAGTAAACCTAATCACATATATTATAATTACTATTAAACAGGTTAACACACACATGCACGCACATATGAATGTTTGCATTTTAGGTTTTGTTTTACTGAGATGAGTGAAATGGCACTCATCTTGAGACTCCATGTCTGGCATTTTTCATTAACTTAGCATAATGTTTTCACACAAAATAATAACTGGCATGCCAGGCCAATCTCAATATCTCAATCTATTGTTGAGAAAGCATTGCCACCCTTACCTCGAGGGTCATGTTCACAGTACTAATGGCCACTTTTATTTCTCCATCAGACAGTTCCTTTATATCTTTCAACATTGTTTGTTCGATACTTAAACCTGTGGATGACAGGGGGAAAAATGTGTTATGCTTTGGGAACTCTCTCTTTTTTAAAAAAATAATATCAAAGGATTAATGAATGCACATTGATTTCAACAGTTTGTCTTATAATGTCACTTTTATTCATCATATGCACCCACTAAGGCAACAATCACATTTGTGACTATGTCTACACCTGTCAAGTTCCCAGCAGGAAAGAAGAGCTACCCCTCATGATGCAAAAGAAGGCTCTTTAATGTTGGGACAATTACAGAAATATGGGTAAAAGATGGTGCAGCATCTACAGAGCAGCAAAGGGACAAGGGAAGGAAAGAGAAATCTGGAACTGGAGAAGAGATGCTGCCAGAAACAGCACCAAAGCAGGAAGGGAGTGGGGAAGAAATACCATCGCTGTTCCTCCCCTTCCCCCGTGACTGCGATGAGGGTGGAGGTAGGAAAATGGAGAAAATCAGGCAAACTAGTCAAATCATGCCAACAAAGCCAAGATTTGCTTTCAGGGTGCATTTAGGCAAGCCCCTATATTTTCTAGTATAATTCTGTTCAAAATGCACTTTATAAATGTAACCCATAAAACTATCATAATTGAGTTGGCTGCCCTTGTAATGGGCTTTAGCAGTAGGGGTTATTGAATTCCTTAATTGATGGGAAGAATAATCCAGAATGACTAAATTATCCAGAACTACATAGTTGTAGTCAATTGACCAACGTACTTCAATGAAAGCTATCACAGCAAAACAAGAAATGGTTTGGCCCAACGTTTAATCCTCACACTACATTCTTATGTCTGCTTAGGCTTTACTGTCTTAGAAGAAGATCCATAATAAACTTAGTAAAGCACAGATATCCTTCCCAGCTGCTTGCTAAAGACATCACAGTTGGATTGCCTACCCTATCAACTTATAGTACTGTCAATCACAGCATCATGAAAAACGGGTATTAAATATTTTTCTTTAACTAGAAGATTGATTTGTAGAACACGTGTGACATTAAAAGCCTGGTGTTGTTTTGAAAATGAATGAGAATGCATCCCATCCTGCAGCTATGCATACACTCACATCCCGCCTGGCACACAGGTAACTGAAGGCGTGGCAGTTGCTGTCAGTGCCTCGCCCAAACTTCATAAGACCTTCCCACTCAGTGTGCCTTGCAAGATGCTCTACCACCTGCACCTGCATCTGTTCCTGAAGGCTTTCTTCAGTCACCAGACAAATTCTGGGGAATTAACACCCCTTGGACTAGGTGACCTTCACTGTGGGTCTACTGATAAATACTTAACAGGCAACAAGCAAACTTAATTTGTAATGTTTGTCAGTTTCTGTAGCGTCAACACTTCTACCATGGCTGATCAATTGCACAACGAATTCAACATCAACCAATTCAAAAAATTCCTCCAAATTCAACCACCAGCCTTTGGAGCCAGAGTGAGCATGTTCCTGTACCACTGCACCCCTCAACTGGGTGTAATTTTACACACTCTTTCCTAGGGTTTGCTGGTGGCCTTCACCTCTGTTTTTCCACTAAACTAACTCGCTTGAGAAAGCACTCTACTCCCCTATCAGTGTGGCTGGGATGGTCTCCCAAATAAACTGCTTTGCCCCAGGGAAATCCCAAAGTAAAGGAGAAAGTTATATCATTTAGTGTTTGCATTCGATGGTCTGGATTTAAATCCTGGCCTGGACACTTTCCTGATGTGTGTTTGATGTTGGGAAAGCAAAGAAGCCTTTCTGTGCTTCAATGTCGTTATCTGCAAGATAAGGATAGATAATGAAGCACCTGATTGTATAAGGATTCAGGAAGATCATCCTTGCAGTGTTAGACCATCAGAACCTTGCGCAAGTTAGGAATTCACTGAATTACAGCTATTTGTTAAATTATAAAACAGTTGATCCTGGAATTTACTGTCCTGATAAAGCCTAGATTTAGAAAGCAATTTTATCAGCTTAGCCATCTTCTCTCTCATTTCTTGCTAACATTAATTGATTTTTGAAATCCCATTGTGCTTGACATTGCTTCTGCCTCATTCCCAAAATAGAACTCTGTAAGCACAAGGATTTCAGGTAATGATGCATCTGGGGTGTTCATTAGACACATGAATTAACCACACACCCAGACACAAAGGCCTCAGAGGAGAGGCCACAGGGCAGGCTGCCTGTTTCCAGGTGAGCAAACATCTGAGCCTGAAAAGTCTTTTACAAGCACAAGGCAAGAGAAAAGAGAGAAAGCAGGTTCAAGTTCACCTTCTCAGGCCTGACAACGCTGTACACAGAAACTATCTCTACTCGGAAGCGGTGGAAGCCATGGGAGACAGAGTCACTCACCCTGGGCACTGAACTGGGTCTCCTGTAGGACGTTGATGATGTCCTCTCTTGGAGGCAAGTTAGGAAACTTTTCTTCCAGGACAGAAAGAATCTCTTCCTGCTTCTCTGAGATCTTGTCAGGATCCATGGTCATCCACTTGAAAAGGATGCTGCCTGAAAGGCATGAACAAAAATGCCCTTGAACTTTAAGCCAGCCAAGTCAGGGGAGGAGAAGCCATGTCCTTGTTCTCCAGGTATTAATCTCTGCCACTTGACTGACCCCTGCATGCTCCATGGCACAGAGTTTATGGATAAAAGAACAACATGTATACCTTTCCCTCAATGCACACAACACACGCCAGTGATCACACCTCAGTTTTAAATTATTTCAAAATGGTAATTAGTGGTAAACTACTTAAGAATCTGGTCAACACTAATCGCTTTAAGCAATCACAGAGAAAATTGTTCCCACTTATCACATTTTACATACGAACTTCCTCCTTTTCATAACTAAATGCTTGTATACTTCCACCATCAGTAAATGAAGAGTCTGACAGGGTGGTTCACCTGAAGTCCACTGCTGACCTTTCAAGCTCCAGGCACAGTTTTAAAGTAGTTTACTATGATCTAATAATTATAAGGTTTCATGAGCCACGTCTGAATCACAGGTATACATTAAAAGTAATTTGCTAACACAGTTCTCAGGGAAAAAAATGTTAAAAGACAGATTGGAGAGGTAGAGAGAGGCCATATCACGAAGGGCCTTACAAATCATCCTGAAACTTATCTTTCATGTTCTAAGGGGAATGGACAACATTAAGTAGGAAGAATAGTATGCTCAATTTCATGTTTTATACGAATCATTCTGGCTACCATGTAGAGAATAAATCAGAAAAGGAATATTGGTAGGGTCAGTAAGGAGGGTTTTTTAAAATATATAAGAAGTAAGAAAAGAATGATTTAGCAAACAAAGAACTGGACAGACTCAATTTGAATGATCATTTAAAGTGGAATGTGGCCAAGCATATTTTGAGTATATATATATATCCTTTAGTCTGACAATTGCTGATGTAAAATTCAAAAAGATCCTCATCTGCTTCTGGCTAGGATTGAATATTTTGTATCAAGAACAAGAACAAGAAATTATATCAACAATAGCAACAACAAAAAGTGCAAGAATTAGAGATATGTTTTAATTTACATTAAAACATATCTCTAATTCTGAGATTTCATCTACAGTCAAAATGGCAATTATCAAGAATACAAGTATCAAATGTTGGTGAGGATGTAGGAGAAAGTTCACTCATACATTACTAGTGGGAATGCAAACTCATGCAAACACTCTGGAAAGCAGTATAGAGATTCCTCAGGAAACCTGGAATGGAACCCTCATTTGACCCAGTTATCCCACTCCTTGGTATATACCCAAAGGACTTAAAATCAGCATACTACAGTGACACAGCCACATTGATGTTTATGGTAGCTCAATTCAAAATCACTTAGTTATGGAACCAAACTAGGTGCTCTTCAACAGATGAATGAAATGTTGTAAATATGCATAATGGAACACTACTCAGCCATAAAGAAGAATTAAATTATGGCATTTGCTGGTAAATGGATGGAACTGGAGGCTATCATGCTAAGTAAAATATGCCAATCCCAAAAAAGACAAAGGCCAAATGTTCTCTCTGATACATGGATGCTAACACACAATAAGTAGAGGCGAAGGAAGAATAGAAGTCCATTGGATTGGACAAAGGGGAATGAAGGGAAGGGAGGGGAATGAGAATAGGAAGGACAGTAGAATAAATTGGATATAACTTTCTTATGTTCATATATGAATACATGACTAGTGTGACTCCACATCATGTACAACCACAAGAATGGGATCCTAATTAGAATAAGTTATACTCCATGAATGTATAATATGTCAAAATACCCTATTCTGTCATGTATATCTAAAAAGAACAAATTTTAAAAATAAAAAAATACTTAAAAAATATCTGCAAGATATTTTTAAATTTTTAAAATCCATTACAGGATTAGCCATGTGACACACTCTAAGAAGCCAAGATCCTGGGGAGAAAGTAAGTACTTTCTTACTTACTTCTAAGGGAACCCAACCAACATCAAGTTGCTATTCCTGGAGGGGTATTTGCTACAAGTTGTATCCAATGAGCTGAGAAAGTTAGAAAATCTAACAATAGTTTCATAGGGCTTGGAGGCTAGAACTAGAGTCTAGGCCCTCCACAGAGAAGCAGTCTTAATAGCCCAGATTTTGACATGGGACACCTGAAGAGCTACACAATAGGATGAGAGTTGGAAAACTTTGGTCTGAAGGTCAAATCTAGTTAATTGTATGTTTTTATAGACAGTTTTATGAGAACACAGCCATGCCCATTCATTTATAATGCTGTTTATGGATTTTGTGTACTATGAAGTTGGAGGTGAGTAGTTGCAATGGAGACTGTAGATCACAAAGCCTAAAATATTTACTATCTGACCTATTCTGAAAACATTTGCCACCCTCATGTAAGGAAAAGAGTGAAGTCAAAACAACAATTTTCGTGAAGATTGAAATCCTGATGTGTACCACCTCAAACCCAGAATAGATTATGTTTATCTGCCACTTTTCTAATTCCTTTGAAGTGTAAATATAAATCCTCTCTGGAGCAAAAGAATTTCATTATTCACTGCTTATCATGTCTACATTTTTATATACAGTATTCAGTCCTCAATAAAAAAATTACCTGGTATAAAAGAAATAAGACCAAATGACTAAAAACTTCAGAGGAAAAACTCATGAGGAAAAAAATGGAAACATCCAAAGGAAAATTTAAAAGTTAGCTGGAGAATTATAGTAGAAAATTAGACTCTATAAGTAAAACAATCAATGAAATATAATAACTGAATTTAAGAATACAAAAATATGTTTATGGAAAATTAGACACACTGAGGAAAACATTAGTGAACTCTAAAATATATCCATATGGAAACATTAAGTGAAAAGGGAATGAAAAAACACAGAGATGAGTAGAAGAGACATAAGGAACATGGAGACAGGTTTAACACACGGGTAATCATTCCCCTTGGAGAGGAGGCGGGGGAGGTCGGGGCAATGGGTACACTGATGCTTCAAAACTGATTAATAGTATTCTAACATTCAAAAATCCTATGAGCCAAATCAGCACTAATATGAAAATAAAACACCCATAGGCACATGACAGCAGAAATTTTTTTAAAATTTATAGGAAAAACAATAACCATAGAAAAAAGACATTGCAACCAGGAGAACCACAATGAAATTGAGATGAACTTCTTGACTAATGCAAAGAAAGAAGACAATGGAACTACACTTCAAGATACGAATATAAAATGAAAAAAATGCCAGGTGCACTGGAGCATGCCTGTAATCCCAGCAGCTCAGGACGCTGAGGCAGAAGGATCACGAGTTCAAAGCCACCCTCAGCAACTTAACCAGATCCTAAGCAACTCAGCAAGACTCTGTCTCTAAATAAAAATTTTTTTAACTGGTCTGGGGATGTGACTTAGTGGTTAAGTGCCCCTGGGGTCAATTCCCAGGACCTCCCCCAAAAAAAACAAAGAAAAAAATGAAATTGAAATGAAGACATTTTCAGAAAAAAAACAATTCCTACAGAACAGCATAATGAAAAGAGGCTTCTGACATTGGCTTATGATTCAGTTTAACTTAACAATTAGAAAGAAATTGATGTACTAACATCAGCAGTAAAATCTAACTAAAAAAGATGCTCACCATACACTGAGTTGTTTTTACAGGATGAGACAGGCCATGCCCAGCTTCAGCCCAGGGACTCATCTGTGTGGCCAACTCTTCAACTTAACATTAGAAACCCATTCAGTATTACTCAGCCATGAAAAGATTGAAATTACAGCAGATGCCAGGTAAATGTATGGAACTGGAGATTATCATGCTGAGTGAAATAAGCCAATCCCCAAAAACAAAAGCTGAATGCTCTCTGTAATATGTGGATGCTAACACACAATAAGGGCATGGGGGAGGGAAGAGTAAAAGTTCATTGGATTAGACAAAGGGGAATGAAAGGGGCATTGGAATAGGAAAGACAGTAAAATGAATTGGATATAACTTTCCTATATTCATGTATGAATACACAACCAGAGAAACTCCACATCATATACAACCATAAGAATGGGATCCTAAGTTTACTCCATGTATATATAATATGGCAAAATACACTGTACTGTCATGTGTATCTAAACAGAAAAAAAAAGAAACAAAGAAGGAAAGAAACCCATTCAGCAGTTACAAACTTAGTTTAAATATCAGTGTCAGAGTACAGCAGCCAAAGACACCTGTTAGCGTGTTCAAACCTGCTTTGTAATGAGTGTTGACTTAACTTCCAGCAAATTCTGCAGAAGGAAATACTTATATCAATAAACTTGTACCCCAAAGTATCTCAGTGACTCATAGGCTGATAGGGAGGAGAGCTGAATTAACATCAAGTAATGAAGAAAACAATTATAATCAAATAGTAACAAACATTTCATTATATTAGGGAAAAAAATCAATCACAATATTCTTTGTTCAAAAAGAAAAAAAAAAGGAGATGTGCAGGGCCTCTTGCCAAAAGCAATTGCAAGCACATTAATATTAAACACGATCTACTGGAGTCAGAAGTTGTTTGGGGAAAACATCCAACACAGTAAAGGCATATTCTGCATGATAAATTCTTAGCAAAAAAAGAAGGAACTTAAGCCTCTTTTCTGTTTCACCTGGGATTGATGTTTCTTTTCATACAAAAAAAAA